TTACTGCGCAAGCAAGCTCTATTAAATGTTTAATGCTATTTAAAAAAAATACCAAATAATGTCACTGAAAATAGCCAAATGAAATAACAACTACAAATAAAACTTTGATAAACCAATAAGTCGATATAATTACATCGCCTTGAAGCAGCAGAATCAATAGTGGTAATTAATTCGTTCTAAGAAAAAGCCGCTTTAGGCGAGTGGGTCAAGGTTTAGGCAAACTAATAGCATAATCTGAATGACGTGGGACAGTCCCAAAGTGGGTGTTAGTTTGTTATAAATATTTTATTTATAACTATCAGTAAGTTTCTGTAATAATAAACTTGGGCAGGGGAACCAATCATGAATTCTTCTGACCAAGTAATTTTGAGATATCGATTACTACCGATATTCGTCCTTATTGAGGACCCTCCTTGGAAAACTACTCCCCCAGATCCTGTACATATAATAAAGATGTAAACACAGTCTCTTTTCTTCCTCGTAACATAAATTGTATCAAAATAAGATCTAGTAAACTTAGTTGACCTAAATTGAAACTTAAATGCATGAGGATATCTGACAGATATTCTTGGTTTTCAACGAAAACTATTCTAAATTAATTATTATGTTTTCGGCTTACTCACGTAATAATTTGACGAGATCCTCGACTAGTTTCAAGCCATTCTAGAGGAGATTCTTCTTGTAGAATACATATGTACATCTTTATAGGAAAAAGGGGTTGCAGAGAGGACTTAAGTTGTCCCTTTCACAAGCTTATTGAAATGACATGCAGATTAACATTTTTATGCGATCTCTCCGAGGGATGATCGGAATAATACCAGCGGTATTTGGACAGGTGATTTTTATTTTATTTTGTGATTCCGCCTTCGCTTTTTGCTGACTAGATCACAGAGCTGTTCTGAATTTCAAGCATGTCGCATTGATTTTTTACCATCTTAACTGAATACCACTTTGGCTATGTATTTGAATATCAATCAGAATGGAAGGTGTAACGTGCTCTCTGAAGCAAGAAGTTTTGTAATATAGAATGGTTGGGTACTGACCACACTGATGTCATTTGCTTTTGTGTATGAGTGTGTGTGCGCGATGATCAATTCCCGAAACGTGAAAATGGTGTATTAAACTCAATGAAATTGGCGTCAACAACGGTAGACTAAACCAAGACGTTGTCAACATACGAGTGACCTTGAAAATAAAAGACTAAAAGATTTGAACCAAAATTACATCACAATCTCTTCAGAATTCAATTTCATAAGTCCTCGTATCTTGTAGTACAGATTTCGGTTACAAAACATTTTACAACTTACGCCCGTTTCAAGAGATCACCCCAAAGTGTCTGAACGTCCCGGAAATTTTGTATGTAACTTTATGAGAAGTTTGTTCGCAACGTCTAACCGAACAAGTTTGTCGAACTGATGTCGTGTTTCTTAGCAAAAGTTTTCTTTCGTGTGTTCAAGTGCAGTAGGAATTTTTGTTTGGATTTGCAGCAAATATTGTAAACTGAAATTCAAACTATGTAAAGTTTCAACTATAAAATAAAACATCATTATTGCTTATGCAAATCAATGCAAATAATGTTTCTCTAAGAAGTGATTCCGCGATGATGCCCTAAGTTTGTTGTCATTTTATATATGAAGAATTTAATTCATAAATAATTTAAATTTGTAGCCAGACAAATAAGGTTACAAATATATTTTTGACGAAATTCAAATATCTTTTATCAGAAAATGCGATAGATTTGTTTTTTCAGATTCAGTATATACGCGGACGCGGCGATGTCGCGCAGCCTACTCTCTCTCTCTCTGTGTGGTTCGAAACTAGTAGAGCTTTTCTCAATTTATACACGTGAGTAACCCGCGTTTTTAGTAAATTTAGTATGTCGCACGATAGTTATTATAAAACCATTAGCGGTGGATGTTTTAGTCTCGCTCTTCTCCATTCTAATCTACACTTTGGAACGAGTCCCTAGGTTCAGTAACTAACAGACTATTTTCCAGTTTGGCGTTTCAAAAGTACCTGTATTATTTAGTTTGGTATAAACGTTTTTGATTTTAACTCTAGAAGAGACGGTAAAGATGTCCTTTGTTATAATAATATGATCCATGCAATAGTGTATGCTGTCGTAAAATTTTGTAAGTTTACCTATTAAACATTCTGCGTACGTGACCATGTGACTGAAGTTAAGATAGTCTTGGGGCCTGCTATGGGTATATGGGATGTAACTAAACTGAAACAAATATTATTTGTCTTCATACCACTACTGCTAACAACTCAACAAATCACAATATTTTGTCTGTGCTTTGTATTTGATATAATAAACGCTTACCACATATATTTTCTCTACCGACAAAAAGCTGTTGTTGTGAAAAAGTATATATTTAAATTGTCAGTACGATTGGTTGGCAATCGGCTGCTGCAAAAAGTAGGTACCTATCATCATACATACCTATGAATTGTGGGACCGACTGTTTCAATTTTCGTAAAATATTTGTACCATTTCCAAATTTAAAAATTCAGAAACCAAACTGGAGCGTAGAGCAGAATAGGATAGATATTTGTTAAGAAATAATAATATTTACGTGATTTATTTATAAAATTTGAAAATGGATATGGATTACCATAATTGCTTACTGCCATTTGAGTACGCATAAGATTACGACCTAGGTTACTCATTAATGAAGGTTTAAAAATACCTATTGCTCGTAATTATTTTATAATGAGAGAAATGAGCCAGGGTATTTGACCTACATCAAAAACCAAGGCTGGGGTAAATATAATGATCTTTGTCTTTATAAAACCGCTTAATTTTTATCATGCAAAACTCAAAATACTCAGACATTAATCCTAGTTTCGAATTGTGGATATTTTTTCGTGGTCCCAAATTGTGTATTTGGTTTAGTGTTAGTGTGTTAGTAGTTTAGTTATAATTGGAAATTGTTACCTCCAGGTTTTCTCAAGATGTTTTCCTTCACCGTTTGTCAGTGGTGTCTAAATAATCATAGAATAATCTCGGAAAAGTCACATTGGGACTTTCCAGGTTTCGAACCCCCTCATTTATGAGAAGGAGGCACCTTAACCTCTGGACCACCACGACGACTTATCGATATTTGGATCAGGATTTGTATTCTTCAACTCTTAAAGCGTTGTGGTGGACCATAATTATGTAGGGTAACCGCTTCTCAGGCGTTCTGATCTTGGCAAATTCCAATACTACTTTTTTCCGACATACCTACTTGTATTTTTTCATATTTTTTTTTGAGTGGGAGAGCCATGCCTCGGCACCAATGGATCGGCTCAACCGGAATGATACCACGGCCTCACATGGCGTGAAACAACCACAGCGTTGTGTTTCGCCGTGTGAGTAAGGTTACTCCGGTAACCTTACTCCACTACCAAATCTATATTTCCCAAAGGTCGGCAACGCATTAGTAACTCCTCTGTTTTTGTTCATGGGCGGCGCTGATTGCTTATCATCAGATAATTCGTCTGCTTGTTTGGCGAACCCACGACGTAAAAAAAAATATTTAGACAACATTAAGTTGTTGAAGGAAAATATCTCTAGGAAACCTTTACTTGGAATTTCAAATTATAAGTATCAAGAGAAGAGGCCTTTGCTTAGCAGTAAATAAAATAATAATTATAGGCTAACGCCGATGATATTTCTTTTCATAAATCATTTCTATTAAATAATTTAAAAATAATCTAACATCGCATCTGATGTATTCTAAAAATTCTCTCGACACTGGAGAAAATCCTAGTGTAGGTCTACTTTGTTTAAACATCATTCATGCAAGAATACCTATTCAAGTATTATGATAAAGGTCATTCTTCATCTAAACCGCACATGACCAACATATGTTCATACTGCATCAAATCGCCCGAACTGCATAATTCTGCTCATAATTTTAGCATCATAAAATTATATATTTACATTCGCCACTCAATTCTGTTTCAGCTAGCTGTCAGTATGTTTGTGATATTAACCGATTTATAACAAACGAACGATGTTTATATGGCAAATGCAGCAATAGGTGGCGATTGAATTTAGAAGGATTTATTTGCTAAACGAATACGATTGTTGCTTCTACAGACGAATTTGGTGCGTTCATGTTCTAAAAATAGTGTTTTAAGTGCTTTTTGGTTTATTTTCGAATTGTGAAGCTCATTTTTGGAGTTTTGTTGTGGAACGATCGTGGTAACTAGTAGTACATTCTTTAGTCAAAACTGGCTTAAATGGTTTGGTAGAATTTAGAATAGAATAATCGATCAGTTATAATGATAATGTGTATTAATATAAACTACCAAATACACGAGAAGCACGCGCAAACTCATACACAATCACATAAATGCACAGCCTTACACAAACACACACACACACACATACATATTATTATACTATAAATTGTTTTATATTACATATAATTATGTATATTTAAATAATTTTAATTCACTTTTTTAATCGTTTATAAATTATGCTACTGCATAATTTCTTTAAGCTATACCTGCCCTACTGGGTCCGTATTGAGACTAATCCCTAAAATTTACCACCTGTCTTTTAACATATATATGGAATGCTAATAAAGAAGTTGAATTTGAATGTTAATATTGGTGTTAAAATAATGCTTTGTAACTAAATATCGACATTATAAATGAAGTTAAAACTTTTATAAATAAAATCTTTGGGTGTATTATATTAAATTGCAAGATAAATTTAATTTTAGACAAAAAGTCATTATACTTCTAGTATAATGACTTTTTTCACAGCCAAAAAAGTATCAAAACTAAGATAGCTATATGTTCCAATGAATATAGAATGTATATTGTATGAAAAATATGGTAAATAAATTAAGGGTACATACTTATATGAAGGTTCAAAAAACCATAAGTAATTCTTCAACAAATCACTAATAGAGAAGTAACATAAAATTCAAGAATATTAAAATACATTTTATAAATTGATTGTTTAGGAATTTATTTTTATAAGCATTTAAAATAAACATGGGGTCTTATTTAAATAAAATCACAGATTTAAACAAACGCAGATTTAATAAGTAATCGATGGTTCATGTTGATGCTTGATAACTGGAATACTCCCTTCTTACAGTCTCGACTGAAATAAAAAAAGAAAAATTATTGCAAGCTATCTATCTATTAAAACTACAATGGCACAGCTACAGATATGGATGGCGACAAAATATTTTATCAATACTTATATAACTGTTCTATTATAGACTGTAGAAGAACAAAAATATTATGATAAATCGTAAGGGATAAATTTCACAGCTCAAAAAACTGAAATATTATCAAATATTGGCCAAACATTGGAGCGTTACAAATTGACTTACCTCAGTTCCTGTGTGGATAGCCAACACCATGTCAAATTCGTTGGCTCCAAGAGAGATGTGAGCGCGACCATCGTTGCCAACAGTGACACGCTTGCCTGTGCAGTTGTTACCGCTCTTCTCACCAGAGATGACGTCACAGTATGTACCAGCGGGGAGGCAAGTCTGCATATAGAAGGAAATTTAGGTGTTTAAAGTACAATTTTAAATTTTGAAGTGACTCCAAAGAACATATAAAATTGCATTTAACGGTAACGTGATCAAAACATCTAAAATAGTAAATAGCTGACATCTGTTTAACATACCTGAAGGGTCTGGTTCAGATCCCAGTAGTCATTGTTGAAAGCAACGAAGCCAACGTTTCCTCTGCAGAAAGCAATCTGGTTACTACCGTTGTCCCACCAGTTGGTAAGAGCGGTGTTGCCAGCACGGTTTCTGAAGGCAACCATGCTGTAGATCTGGCGCCAACGGTGCTCACAGATCCATCCGTTACCGCAGCTTTGGTCCTGTTAAACAAAATAAAGAAGTTGAAGGTATACGATCAAGTATGGTATGTCGTTAATAATAACAGAAAAATTAATATAATAATAACAGACATGTTAATAGTAACACAAAATTCTAATCATTTACTAATTGTTTTAAGTATTAAAACTTACAGAGTTGATAGAAGGAGAGATGATGTTGCCGCTGCTGTCCATTGGGGGTCCAGCCTCAGTATCGTGGAAGTCGAAAGAGCTCATCAGTTGTGGCCAGCCGTAAGGATGGGCCAACATGAAAGCAATAGCACCCTTGTACTGTTTCGATTGTTTGTAGGTAAGGATGGCTCCACCAGCACCGTGACCTCTTTGGTTGTCGTGGTTGTCAATGAAGGTAAGAGAGTCGCCAGAAGCAAGAAGACCCCAAGCAGTTCCCCAGTTATGAAGCCATCTAAGTTGGTTTCCACGGTTGAAAGCTCGGCTGAGTTCCATACCGAATTTAAACTCTGTGACGGCAGCAAGAGGAGTATATTCGTCGCGGGAAATGACTTCACCACCAAGATCAATGACTTCCTGGTAGATGTATGGGCGAGCGCCAGAGGGGAAACCGTGATCAGTGTTAAGGTTGTGTAGCCTGTCGTAGATGACACGCAAGTCACCTGGCCACATGTGTTTAGCAGCGTCAATTCTGGTAGCAAGAAATATAAACATTGTTATAAATCCAAAAAAAAAAGCTTTGTAGCACATGAAGTACATTGTAAGCCAATAAAAATACAATACACTTTGATCAGTACCTGAATCCAGCAACACCCAAACCGATGAGGTGGTTCATGTAGTTAACAATCATTTGACGGACGTATTCAGTACCCTGGTTCAAGTCCTTAAGACCAGATAGCTCGCAGTTACGTACCTGTAACAGAATAAGGAAACTGTAGAAACAAAAACGTGCATATTACACCATTTTATGTGTATGTATTCCTATAAAAGATAGATAGATGAGCGTTGAGACGTACATTATTAATCACAGACTGATGATGATAAAGAAAATTCGGCAAGGTAATGGACTTTGGACTTTGCTTATAAATTAATTCTGTAACAAACATACAGCGCCATCTAGCGTAATACGATGAGCGGCAGTCATAAACTAGGAGACAGCTACAGTAGACAAGTGACGCCATCTACACACTGCGTGTCGAACTGTCTGCGTCAGCGCCGGTCCGCATCACCACTACAGACATCAACGTGTAGATATTGTGCACACATGTAAACAGTCTGCCTTTATAAGCAGAACAGTCTTTGAGAATTTCATTCGACTAGCTAGAGGATCAGAGTTCGGTAGCCACGCAGCCAATTCTGAGCCTAAGTAAGACTAGTTCCTGTTCGATAGCCTAGCGGTCTTCAGGAACTAGCCAGCTAGGGGAGGTTGAATGGCGATAGCCACGCAGTCCCTTTCATCCCTCCACTTAGGGTTGCCTTAAGATTAGTGCATATTGTAAAGTGTATCTTTATATAAGACAATAAACTATCGTCTAGTACAACGGGGCTTTAATTTCAAAAACCAGCAACCCTACATTGGCGCCCAACGTTATAAAATAATCCACAGGATAAAAATATATGTTGATCTACATTAGAAACAACGTTATCAAATCGCCTACAGAATAAAAATATTTTTGCCTACCCTCATATGTGTACGGCCTACCTTAAACATTGGTACCTGCATAGTAAAGTACCCACAACATTGAAAAGTGAACAATAACTTGGAATGGAATCATCTACAGAATAAAAATATTTTGGCCTACCCTCATGTTTTTACGGCCTACCTTCTAAATTGTATGGAGTACCCGCACACTTATTGAAGTACCCACAATATTGAAAAGTGAAACCTACATTGGCATACATTGAAAGATTATTGGAAATGTCAAAACCAGAGCAATTGTCGTCAGAACAAGTTCTACTTCTATCTGATTTGCTTTCAAAAATTACAACGATGTCTACGAAAACTTTTGCACAGTGCCGAGCTAAATTTAACGGCGAAAGGTGTTATAATAAAGTGGAAGAATTTGTAACAAGCATATCGGTCTTTAAGAAAATTGAAAAAATATCGGATGATGATGCATTAGAGGGTCTGTCTTTAGTGTTAACTGATAAAGCAGCCACGTAGTGGATTGGAATAAAATCTGAAATTAAGAAATGGAGTCAAGCAATCGACGCAATACGGTGTGCTTTTGCGCCGAGAAAACAACCGCACGAAATCTACATGGAAGTTTTCGCAAAGAAACAGGGTAATGAAAACATAGACGATTTTGTTTGCGAAAAGCGAGCCTTGTTGGCTCAATTGCCAACGAAGCGGCAGAAAGAGGAGGAACATTTAGACATGGTGTATGGGTTGCTTAAAATATCGTACAAGAAGGAGATAGCTCGCAGTGACATCAAAACATTTGCTGATCTACTGGAACGCGGTCGCCATCTTGAAAGCCTTGCAAAAGAAGGTGAAGAAACCACGAAATTTAACACGGAGCGTAAGCCTATAAGGAGATGTGCCTACTGCGGGAAGAAGGGCCATACTTTGGAAGAATGTCGCAAAAGGTTGGCAGACAATAAAACAACAAGCACAAATATCGAACCTCAAAACAAGTTAGCTTGTTATGGCTGTGGGACGCCAGGTGTGGTAAGGAGTAACTGTGTGACGTGTAAAAATCAAGAAACGCCGCCTAAACCTGTTGCATTCTGTACAATGCAAGTAACACTGGAAAGCAATGCAAAAATACCGACGATACCTATAAGTATAAAAGGTGAAACAGGATATGCATATATAGATACGGCTGCCCGTACAAGTATCGCTGGCACTCAATTATATAAGAAGCTAATTCGGCACGGTACGTCGTTCGTCGAGCGCTCCGCTGACATAACTTTAGCAGATGGTACCATTAAAACGACCACTCTGTTAACAGCCATAGTTGACGTAGTAATAGGTGAACGCATATTACCTATTGCTTTCTCGGCAATACCAGAAGCTAAATATAACCGCACTCTTCTTGGCATTGATTTCCTCGAGTCTTCAGGTATTGTGTTGAATCTGCCACAGAGGGCGTGGTATTTTGTTGATGATCCAGATAAGATTTTTACAATATTGCAACTCAAAAATGAAAACATACCACTGATTGCAACAAAATCAATAGATTTCAACATGGAAACAAATACATCACTGGACGTAATCCAAACCACAAAGCTCGATAACAAAAATGAAGAAGAAACACTCCCAGACTTTATTAAATGGGCAAGAGAATTGAACATGGTTTCTCCTATGATGGAAACACCCTCACCGGTTCGCGACGAAGACGGGTCACCGGGAAACAAAAGACCCCGGTGGATTCTTCAAAAACTGGACACGCCACCGCGCCCAGTACGTCCAAGAGAACCAGCTGATGATAATTCTTGTATTGATCCTCGCATTAACTATGTAAAAATAAACCCATTTAAATTGTATTCTCTTGATATTTATTTACAACCTAACGAAGGTAACTTACTCACAATTAATGAACAAGTAGCTTTCAATGAACTTTTAGCAGAATATAAAGATATATTTCAAAGGAACACAAGTCCAACTCCATATATACAACACATAATAGATACAGGCAATCATCCTGCTATAAGTAGCAAGCCATATAGGTTATCGCCTACTAGACAGCAGCAGCTTCGAGAAAAACTTGATGACATGATCAAAAACGACGTTATTGAGGAATGTGATTCTCCATGGTCAGCACCAGCCATTTTGGTTCCTAAGGCCGAGAACGATGTCAGAGTCTGTATCGATTATCGAAAATTAAATGAGATAACTAAGCCCGACAGATATCCTTTGCCACGCATCGATGACTTATTACATCAAGCAAAGGCTATGGCTTATATGTCAACAATCGATCTACAATCAGGCTACCATCAAATTTTGGTACGGCCAGAAGATCAAGATAAGACAACTTTCATTTCCCCGTTTGGAACTTTTCGTTTTAAACGGATGCCGTTTGGATTACGCAATGCGCCTGCTACTTTTCAAAGACTTATGGACAGATTCATACGAGGTCTAAAAGCTGAATTTGCACTATGTTACCTTGATGACGTAATTATTCGTTCTGTCTCTTTCTCTCAACATATACAAGATTTACGAGAAGTGTTTGATAAGCTGAGAGAATATAAACTACATGCAAACCGAAAAAAATGCAAATTTTGTTGCTCTAAAGTAAAATACTTGGGACATTTAATTGTACCTGAAGGAATAAAAGCGGACCCAGAGAAAGTTTCTGCTATTTCTAAACTGCAGGAGCCTAAAAATCTAAAACAATTGATTTCATTCCTTCAAACAGCATCCTGGTATAGGAGATTTATATATAATTTTGCTGAAATAGCAAGACCATTGACTAACTTAACGAAAAAGAAAGTTGTTTGGCAATGGAATGCACAAGAACAGGAAGCCTTTAATCAATTAAAGATTGCACTAACGACCGCACCAGTTCTAAAACAAGCTAATTCGGATGTGCCATTTACTATAAAAACTGATGCCAGTCAGTATGCTATAGGAGCAGCTTTGGTGCAGGGGGAGGGTAGAGAGGAACACCCTGTAGAATATGCAAGTCGATTACTTACTCCTGCTGAATGTAACTACACAGTGACAGAAAAAGAAGCGTTAGCTATAGTATGGGCTGTATCACGCTTTCGAGGCTATATAGAGGGCACACGTTTTATTACAATAACAATCAGCCCCTCAAATGGTTGATGAACCTGAAAACTTCTACTGGTCGACTAGCAAGATGGGCTCTTCAGCTACAACCGTACGAATTTGTCATTCAGTACACTCCAGGTCGCACAAATGTTGTTGCTGACACATTGTCACGACCACCATGTTCAAATCATGATGATAGTAAATGTACAATCTGTCGTTTCGAGGTGGAAATTCCAAAACTAACTGAAAAACATTTACGTGAAGAACAATTGAAAGATGAACAATTGAACATGGGAAAATATCACACTTCAGCATTATGTAAATTTGAACAAAGAGATGGTATTGTGCCCAAACCCTTACATCCCATAAGAAAAAGAGGGAGACCAAGGAAGATGGATACTGATCCTGGTACTCAGTCGGGACGACTATAGAGTACCAGAGGGGGAGATTGTAACAAACATACAGCGCCATCTAGCGTAATACGATGAGCGGCAGTCATAAACTAGGAGACAGCTACAGTAGACAAGTGACGCCATCTACACACTGCGTGTCGAACTGTCTGCGTCAGCGCCGGTCCGCATCACCACTACAGACATCAACGTGTAGATATTGTGCACACATGTAAACAGTCTGCCTTTATAAGCAGAACAGTCTTTGAGAATTTCATTCGACTAGCTAGAGGATCAGAGTTCGGTAGCCACGCAGCCAATTCTGAGCCTAAGTAAGACTAGTTCCTGTTCGATAGCCTAGCGGTCTTCAGGAACTAGCCAGCTAGGGGAGGTTGAATGGCGATAGCCACGCAGTCCCTTTCATCCCTCCACTTAGGGTTGCCTTAAGATTAGTGCATATTGTAAAGTGTATCTTTATGTAAGACAATAAACTATCGTCTAGTACAACGGGGCTTTAATTTCAAAAACCAGCAACCCTACAATTCTAAATTTTGATTAGAAATGTGGACTTTGGTTTGGATTGGTAACAGTTTTGCTGTGTAACGTATTAATTTGAAGCGAAACTAGAGAAGGACACGAAAAGTGTTAAAATAATTACCCTATCAGCACAGCAACCATAGTCGTGGTTTTGGATAACACATTGGGGCCAGTTGAAGTCGTTCCTGCCGTAAGGCACGCCGGGGTAGTGCCAGTTGCCGAAGTTGGCGGTGCTGCCACCAGTACCAGTGTTCTCATTCCATGTGCCTGTCATGTGGTTGATGATGGCATCGACGTAGATTCTGTAAAAGAGAGCAATGAAGTCAAAGACAATAAATAAAAAGCCTCGTAAGTTTGTAACGAAGAAACTTTAAAAACAATAGAAAACAATCTGTTCTCTGACTCTTTGCAAATTATTATTATTAAATTGACAAAGGCTCAAAATTTGATAATGTAAAAACTGACCGGACACCAGCGGCGTTACATCTTCGCACCATGTTAGCGAACTGTTGTTCGTTACCGGAGCGAGTGACCAGGCGGTAGGAGATGGGCTGGTAGCGTTCCCACCAGGGGCGTTGACGGGACCAGATCGCGAGGTTCTCATTGGGAGGAGAGATCTAAAAGGAAAATTGGAAACATCTTTCAAACCTTTTTAAATAACTTCGAATTCACCTGAAGATCACAGACATTAAGAACAATCTTATGTTATGTTTTCTCTTTCTTTTAAAAGATGATTTGAATTTCATTAGGCTTTATAATGTTATCAACTTAATGCTATAGATAATTGATACATTTATTGAAACCGTCATGGCGATAATCTCCAATAATGTACCTACTGTTATTAATTGAATTTACGATATGACTTGTTAAAAACAGAGATTGATAGTCATTGATAATGGTATTTGTAGATTGGTCATTTGTTTAGTGAGTCTACCACGTAATCAATATAAAAATGATAAAGTTCATAGCATTGTTTTTAGCTTCCTTGCTCGCAAGTGACCGATAGCAATACCTACTGTACTTATTGCTACTGGAATAGTATTTTGATCAATCGCTTAATTAGATCTTTCTTATTTTTAAACTTCTTAATTACAATGAAGCTTATATTGTTTTGTTTTTTTTTTGTAATTTACTTCCTTCCTAGTAGTATAATGCGACAAGTGTAGTGGACAAAAAGTAAGATACATACTTAAATCATTTTTTCAGAAGAATAATGCAACTTTTTCTTCTTACCTGAATACCACCATATCCTCTGGGTCCTAAGAATCTCTCGCACTCGCTCGCGATGTCATCCCACTTCCATTCAAACAGGTGAACCATAGTCGTACGGCCTGATGCATAGTGAGGGTTTTTGTAGGCCAGTGCCAGAGTCACGACGGCCGTCAGGCAAAGGATGAGCCGAAACATCCTGGAAAAACAGCAAAATATTGTTAAAAACCTGTGAAATATTATGAGCGAATTGAACTAAAATGTTTTTTGATGAACTATATGAGATCATGAACCCGAAGCGCAGTGAAATTGATACGCCATTTGTAATTGAATACAAATGATAAATTATATGTACCTCAACTATTATAGCTATAAGTAGGATTTTATAATAATAAACTGTATTGAACTTCTAAATTACTATGACGTTTGTCTATAGGTCTAACGCATTATAGTTCAGTAAATTAGTCCTTAAACACTTCGTACACTTTAGATCAGCTATAATGGAAATGACCTCTTCGAAAGCGGTAAAGCAAAATAGTACTAAAACAAATACATCGCAATTATATTACCTATTTCTATTCAATAAAATACTATATATCTACTAGTTAAGGTACACAATTGTTAGAACAATAACTATTTATGTATTTCAATTACACGATGCAAAATAAACCTATTATAATATTGTGAATAGAGACTATATTATATTGTTGTGTAGTTTGAAGTGAGAGAATTGTGGCAACTATTTCCCTAGTTATAATTATAATAGCCATCGATGCGGCAAAGAGTCATATTGGTCGCAGTGCTTGTTGTTATGTTTGAAAATCAAATAGACTATTATAAGTTTTATTACGAGACAACAAAGTTGATTTTAGGTTTGGTCAATCAATACAGAAGGGAGAATGTATTAGTTCAAAGTGCAATTTATAAATAAATACGTTATCTGTATTGTTTATGCATCAAACGCCATCGAACAGATGTTATTTGAAACTTGTTTGTTAGATGCTGTTTTAAAATAAAAGATTCTGTTTTACTAATTTGACTGACTAAATAATATTCGGGTACCTTATACTTAATAAAATAGTGTATTTTGAAGTGCTCAATAACAAATCCTTTTTTAAAAAAATCGGACTTCAATTTTCTTTTAACCATGCCTGATTGGTGCTGCGTATTTTCGAATAAATATTTTATAATAACTAGAAAATCATAGGATATATAATATCTATAAAGTTACTGTTACTAGTATCCCATACTAGCGCAGTAACTGGTATAGAATAAAAGGTATTATTGCACCGTAACACAAAAGAAGAAAATAAATGAAAATGAAACAAAAAGACTTACCTTACGCTTAATACCCCTTAGTGCACTATAACAGAAGATATAAAAGTCTGCGTTGGCCCTCCTACCGCGACCTGACTTATATAGGTCGAGATAAAAACCTCAGTGTACGACTTAATATCTATATTATCTTTTAATTATTATAATCTTCGATAAAACGGTCCAAAAACAATAATAATCTAAGATTTTGTGCGGCGATTGTAATTGTACATAAGATTTTTGGACATTATATAATTTTTTGTAGTAGAAAGTTCTAAAATACATTTAGAACCCGATTATTATGATATCTGCATCAATAAGGATGCATGATAATGCAATTTTATTACGTGTTAAATGACATTTTGGCTACAATCTCGAAACCTTAATTAATGTTTCAACTTATTTTTTATCAACAACTAAGTATAATTACTGTATTTTGTTTTTATAAATTTTTGGTGTTATTGTTAATCAAAATTTTGACATTAGTAGACGTCTTAAATTGTTGCGTTGGATATTATTATTTTTATTCAGTATATTTTTATTCTTATCAGTGACCATTGTTTGATGCTGTAAGTTATATTCGTAATATACCTTTTTTCTGTTTGTGTAAGCAATTCATTGGGAAAATAGGAATGGCATTTCATGTTTAGAATTTATATCAAGTAGTAGTAGTTTTTATACAAAACAGCTTCGGAAACAGCGAGCCAAAAAAGTAGCCTATGTGTTATTCCAGACTATACCTAATCTAACTACCTATACCTAAGGCAAATTGCATTCAGATCCGTTCAGCAGTTTTTAAGTGAAAGAGTAACAAGAGTAACAAAAGTGGGAGTACTAACATTTTTTTTCGTTTATTAGATTTAAGAATGTATTCACGATTGAGGTAATTGAGAAAATCTTTACTATAGGTAGTTTCAAGTGGAGATTACACTTTTTGTCAGGGGAAAATCATAAATCTCTATAGGGTGTGGTAGTCTTTTGGCTCTTTAAGGCGCGCGCAGAACGCTACGCGCCGTACGCTCGGGTCTGGTTCTGGTCGGGCGGCGAGCTACCCTATCTCGCTGTCCGCAGAGCCACGCTTAAGATTTTTATCCTTGACTAAAACGTCGATCCGTCAAACTGACTTAACTTGTAGGGCTTCTCTCAGTTAGTTCACGTAAGCCAATATAATGAATGCCTATGTTGAGAACTTAACTGCTTGTGTCAAAAGCTCAAAAAGGTATGTATCCAAGTTTTTTGATATATAGGTGTATTGTCAAATGTCTTCTCTTGCCCTGGACTGCACGATAGCGAGTGTCAAATGCCATCTGACTAAAAAGCTCCCTGCTTCTTCACCTGTTCCTAGCGAGAACGCGATACGTCATGGCGCTTGCACCCGCAACTCTAGGTGAAAACTGGCCGTCACGTCATCAGCGATATGAAATGCCCTCTGCTGGGCAAAGGCCTCTTCTCACACGGAGAAGGTTTGAGCACTAATAACCACACTTGCTCTAGGCAGATTGGTGATTTCCAACTTATAATAAGAATTCATAAGTACAGGTTTCATCATGATGTTTTCGAAAGTACATATATTACTTGGAAAAAGTCACATTGGTACCTGCGGATTCGTACTCGCATCCTCATGCATAAGAATCGTCCCTAGCCACTCAAACGTCCGGGCGACTATAGCAGCCCAAAAAACGTTGAACGTCCGGGCGACTACAGCGGCCCAGATGTCTCGTTCCATTTAAACCTGTTTTTATCTGTGTTCATGTTCAAGAGGTTCACAAGTGTTCCACTAGATTACTCTTTATTAAATAACGCGTCTGTGGGTCGGCAAATCAGCACGTCAAGGTGACATCAAGATTAAAAAAAAATATTGTTTACAAAACTTTTTGTCATTTTTTGAAGTGTTTGTGAGTGTCGACTTTATAATGTACGTAAAAATGTATTTATTATTCAATTGATTGGGTGTTATATATTGAAATACTCCAGGGGATCCATTCTTTTAGAATAGCTACAAATTCTAAGCATTCGCAGTCTGATGTGATATTTTTTAATGAGTTAAAATCGACGAGCAAGAACTTTGCCGTTGTGTGTCGGTTTTTTGTTATTTTTTTATGATATGTATTATATTAAAGTAAAATACTACTTGTAATCGGAAAAATAGGTAATTATTAATACCTGTGTAAACGTGGACGTTTGAGTGGCTAGTGTCCACTAGGGACGGTTCTTAAAATCATATGTGGTGGCCTGATTGATGACCGCACTTCAATTGCAATTCTTACGGAGAGTTCTGCTGGCCGATCTATGCTAAATAGTGGTTCTTACGATACGCACTCAATTATGCAGAGTACCGGGGTTGTGGGACTTGTGGATCAGTACTTATTGCGCAACCGTAGCATCGACCTGGAGCAGGAGAAGGAACGGTGGAAGGGGATTTTAGTCAGTGAGGCCCTAACACTCTATCTCTCGCCATTTGGCGTTCCCTGCTTAAAAAGGGAAAATTGAATTTGTCCTTAGATAAAACTTTCAATTTCTGTAAAATGCACCTTGCAATATATTTTTATGAGGACACAAAATTCATTACGAACAACGTGGCTATAAAAACAAATTACTTTACTGCATTATTTTTATTGCTTGTCTCTTTTATTAAAATACTATTTGGTAAGTATTAGGTAGGTACCCGAGACCACCTGTAGGATGAAAGGAACGTAGTAAGTTATATTATTCGCAAGCGTCCTATCTTAAGTAAGCAGGCTTGGTAAATTACCGCCCGACCAGAACCAGACTCGACTGAATGGCGCGTAGCGTTCGACGCGACCCTCAAAATGACAACAGACTACGACTGATGAGACTGATAGGGCTGATGTTCAAATGGGGTTGCGGGTCAAGCGCAATAATTTACCGCGATCGCGGCCTGGAACAGGAGTAGGAACGGGATGGTGTTTAGTTAGTAGGTATTTGACACAGCCCCTCGCCCCAACTAAAGCAAAAGTAGTCTTTTTATGATTTTTCTACATAAAGAGGTAAAGGTAGAAGGTGAAGAGAGGTGACACAAAATTTGATGTTTTCTGCTCAAATCGAACTTAGAGGAATGGATGCAGAAAAATACTTAGTTGAGGAAAGCTTGTGATGGTGGTGGATGGTGATCTTTAGATAGAAAACTCAATGAAGTAATAAAAAAAAACATCCAATCCATACCCGACTCGATGAAAGAATTTGAAACAAACGTATCACATTTGTTTAATAACTTGTAAGGAGTGTTTCGGACCAAGGACTTTGTTAACTTTTATATTCTATTAAATATAGTAAATTAGAAAAAACAAAATTTTATAAAAATAATAATATAATTAATTTTAACATTTACTTGTGAATAAATAAGACACATTTTAAAATGGCATTTTATTTACAAATTCTTTTATATTGCAGGTTTATTAATTAATTCTATTTTACATTGTTTGGTACGATTGAACTTCTTTTAAACAGCAATATTGGCTGGCAGCCGACCTCTGAAGGCTCCTTAGTAGGTAGTTTTAATGTACGACTGCAAAAAAATACATAAAAAAAATTGAAACAGATTTTTACCAGGTGAAGACTAATAGCAGACCATTCCTCACTATTCACCTATTGAGAAAATTATTTTATTCATAGACTACTTGACTCTGGGTTTTGCTATACTTTTGTATGAAATATGATCGCCAACCTGATGATTAGCCATCGGCGCCACCCATAAAAACCCATGGGCTGCCTGCCTGTTTAGGGTTAGAAGTGAAGAAGTGAGGAGTGAGACACTCACAAGGCTAAATAGATCGCAAGCTTTTGTTCACGACAGTCTACTTTAAGGCCGTTGTATCAATACGATCGAGCCGGTCTATTGGTGCCGAAAAATGGCTTTCCCACGTAAGAAAATATACTATAGGGTTTTTCAAGACCTCTACGCCTCGCAGACGGATTGGAGATTTTAGTTTATGCTTATCTGATAGTAATGGTAAATGCTTTAAAATGAGTACCATCTTCTGCCCAGAAAGTATCTACGGCATGTTTTCTGTTTACACCTCAAAGTTTCCTAGCACCGTTATCAATAGCAAAAAAAACTAGACAAAGCATTAGTCCTATGTCAACATTAAATTTTATCTACCTAAATACATCCATCAATATAACGTCATATTATTTATTGATTATCAGTAATACCTAATATGGTAAATCAAGTTAAAGATAACTAAATAGGTACATCAATAACACGAACGGAGAACGTGATTTTTTACAAAATTATCTCTGATAAAAATATTAAGATTTTAGGTGTGCCACAAATATGAATAATAGCACTAAATCATTCTATAAATGGAATGCACATTAAGGATAAAAGATTAAGTAACAAAGGTCACAAAATAATAGATTATAACACAACCGGATACCATCTAAAATCGCTTGCCGATTGTAGATAATAATGCATTTAAATAAACAGATTGTGTGCGCAGTATGTACTACATACCTACATAACTTACATACCTAAAATTTTCAATGTCCGTTTACTGGTCATCTCCTTTAGCACAACTATGTATTTTATCAAATCTGACTCTTAAAAAAATACACCAAAAAATTTCATTCGTTAAATATTTAAATCATCATTTAGCCAATTTAATGTGATTGAGTACCGTGCTTTTTAAAATTAGAACTATCAGCGAAGAAAAATAATTATACTTTTCTCTAAGCTTTAGAACCAACCTCATCTCCAACATGTATAGCTAGATGCAGCTCTTGTCCGACTCCAGATAATGTGATTACTGCTGCCCCAGTACTAGATACGGTCACATTCTTTCCAGTACAAACGCTTCCTTCTTTCTGACCAGATATGATATCACAATAGGTACCAGCTGGAAGTCCAGTCTGTAAACAATTAATAATTGATTTACATCTTCAAGGTCGACGTCGCTGGTTTTCTTTACTCAAAATTAAGAAGCCTTGGAGAAGTCTCTTCGCTTAGGGAAGAAGAAGTGTACTGACTGATTCTTACTAGTTACAACTACCCAAGTATCGTATACATAAGTAACATATTGATGGGTAGGAAATCAGGTTTATCTCTCTCTCTCTCTCTATTCAAACAAAAGAAAATTTAAATTGACATACAGCCCTAAATAGACCGAAACTTCCGACAATTTTGTAAAAGGACTTTTGGAGGCTTGGCTGATCGGTGACAGTGTCAGCGGGTTCCTATTATAAGTATTTTTATGAAAACGCACACAAATATGAAATGTTTACATTCTTGCTTTAATTTGTTTTATTGCATTACTCAACTTATATCTCAATTAAAATCGACTAACCTGAAACTGTCTATTCAACTCGGTTCCTTCTGTGTTGAATACAATAAATCCTTTCTTTCCCAAAGCAAACGCTATCTGATTGTTGCCATTATCCCACCAGTTGGTGACAGCAGTGTTGTGTACTACGTTTCTGAATGCCACCATCCTGTATACTGGAGCCCATCGATGTTCACATACCCAACCACCATCACACATTTGATCCTAGTAGATTACATAATAGATTAAGATTATGGCATTTTTATATAACTTACATTAACTTACATAATAACTTACATTAATATTAGTGGATATCCCACCCCCACGTTTGCTATCAAAATTCTCATCAGAACCGCTAGCCGCTCATGAGTGAAATTCTTTACCTGATTTTAGATTCTCCGAAAATAAAGGTAAATTCAAGGTCCGAATGGATAGGTTGCTTATGAGCAGGCGTGCTACAACTCAGGCCGTGTTATCACTAACCACCAGGCGAGAAGTAAAGATAAAGTAGCAAATATTGTCATCACCAACTTTTATCTGCAGTGCGGTTTTTACGAGTGATTCAATACCTAGGCCAAACTATTTAAAGTTCTTGTGTTTCATATTTTCGACGTCAATTCACCCAAAAAACACGTGCTAAATATGCATATTATCAGTTCTTGGACCCCTCAATTATAGCTCACTATTGCTATTAAACAGACACAATTCATGATTAGTATTTCTGAAATATTTGAGACCATAACATTAAAACTTTTACAGTTCAGTCTGAAGAAAACTAAAAAAATAAAAATATGTAGGTTGTGCATTCAAAATTAAAAACTGTAGGTACCTCATTTATGACTGGTGATACAATATTTTCGTCAGTATCAGCTGGTGGACCTTGTTCAAAATCAGTAAAATAGTAACTGCTAGTCATTCGAGGTTGTCCATACGGATGTGCTAGAAGAAATGCTATCGCAGCCTGCGGTAATAAAAAAAATTTAGACATATAATTTTATTTGTGGTGAATACAAATAAAGTCTATTAATTACTTGATTTCCAGGAGACCGAATAAATTAGTTTTCCAGTTTTCCATTTTTGCTCCTTAAGATTTCTGGCTTAAATTGCATTAAAATAATTAATATAACTATCAGTTTCAGTGCTTAGCAACTCATCAAGCAATTATTATTTATTTACAATGATAAGATTACAATTGTTTATCAAATTTACCTTATACAAAGTTTCATTTTTATAAGTCAGTATGAAACCATTACGTTGCGTATCGTGGTTGTCAACAAATATTACAGCATTCTCACTGGGCATCATATCCAGTGCTGTTGTTCCCCATGATGCTAAAGTTTTCAATGGTTTTTGACCACTGAAAATAAGCGCTAATTCCGCTCCAGCCTAAAAGGTAAAAATATAATCAATATGCAAACTCCACAATACCTAACATTATCTAACCTCAAAAGTTCTTATTTTCTTCTTGTTCAAATATTTTATCCTTTTTTGTTTACTGGCTGACGATGGATCTATTGGTGGGCAGGATTCCATCATAAGTCATCAATGTGAATCGGTTTAAAATAAGAAATCATACATTTCCTCTGATCTGCTATGTTTAGATAATGAAATGAATAATGTTACGAAAAATTTATAGGTGGCTAGAAAACATTTTCAAGACTTACAGTGAATTCAGTGACGTCTCCCAAATCTTTATACTCCTCAAATGTGACTGCGCCGCCTTTGGACACTTCCTGGTAAATGTAAGGTCTGGAGTTCCTTCGGAATCCATGATTCATATTCAAATTGTTTAGACGTCTATAAATCTCATTTAGGTCCTCTGGCCACATATGCTTTGCTGCGTCCACTCTGGGTGGGAATATGTTATATTGTAAAATCTCTTTATTTTAAATGGCTATTATAATTAATTTTTGCATCAATGAATTTGACGAGTGCCAACAAAGTCTTGTAGATTGCCACAAAGTCTTGTAGTTTGAAAGTATTATACTAAAACTTTAAGATTGCACAGTTGATGTGTTGGCGTTTGATTTCTGGATAAAACAACTCTGTGTGATCTACAAATTGTTGTCTGTCAAAAAGTCTGGGTGTAATAAGCGTATTTAAAATCCTAGTGTGGGGCAAGGTCTAAACAAAAATATATATATATTTTTAATTTCAAACTCTTAATCATCAACATGCTATTCCATTAGATCTTAAAATACTTCTTCTCTTTGTAATTACCAATAATATAATTTTTGGCAAGCATTGTGTTGATAGTTACTAAGAAAAATCTGGTAATAGAATGACCAAAGTGTTACCTGATACCAGCTGCGCCAAGATCAATAAGATTATTGAGGAAGTCGATAATTTTTTGTCGGACATATGGCATTGTTTGATTCAAGTCCTTGAGTCCTGAGAGCTGACAAATACGAACCTGAAGCATAAGAAAAGAAGGGGTTATGAGAAATTTCTTATGAACTTCTAATTATTTAGGGGTGATTATTTTAAAACACCTTCATTTTTGTGTTGGCAACTGTATATACCAAATAGAATCTAAATTTATAGTTTGGGAAACAGATCAACTCTATCAACCTTGCATTATATGCAGTTGGTGATACATAGTTATATTATCCAATAGGAGAATTTGAGGAATAATAGTATCCCATAGGATTCGGCTATTTTTGTATTACATTTTCATGAGACTTATTAATTTTTTTTTATGGGACAAGTCTACCTGATGGTAAACAATCGGCGCCGCCCATGGACACCCGCAACACCAAAGGAGTTACGAGTGCGTTGCCGGCCTTTAGGGGATAGGGGTTGCGGATATAAAGATTGGAAAGGGATAGGGGAAGGGGAGGGATTGGGCCTCCGGTAACCTCACTCACACGGCGAAACACAACGCTGTAGGTTGTTCCACGCCGGTATTCTGTGAAGCCGTGGTATCACTCCGGTCGAGCCGACCCATACGTGCCGAAGCTTGGCTCTCCCACACTTAAACTACTCATTATTGTTTATTGAAAATAACGCCTTACTCGCGTCGCGCATGCTGCTCACAAAGAAGAGTCCCGTTATAACATGAAAGTATTAGATCTTTTCTCAACACACTAGTCAAGTTTTCTACGTGAGATAATTATTCAGATATTGTTACTTTACTAACCTCAGTAGCATTGCCATAATCGTTTATATCACAGATTGGGTGGTGGAAATGTTCTTGGGTGTAAGGAACTCCAGGGTATGACCAGGTATCAGTGTCAGCAGTACTGCCTCCGGTACCGATATTTGTTTCGTGATCTCCTGTCATGTGGTTAAAGACTACATCGACGTACACCCTGCGAAAAAGTTTGCACACATGCACTATGTTTTGTTAAGCAATATTAACCTCAAACGTTCCAAAAGTTATGTTTGTTTGTTTATAAAATCAGTAAAATATACTACATAGAATGGAGATTGTCGCATATACGTACGAAACAGAGAAGTCGAATAAATGCATAATTAGAATTTTCATTGTACATAAATAGAGGGCATACAGAAGTTTATTGCTAAAACCCAAATTAATTCGACACTGTATACAATTACTGACAATATTAACTAAAATTTGCGGGTTAATCACGTGTAAATGTTGAGAAAAGCTCTACTAGTTTCGAACCACAGAGGGGTTCTTCCTAATGAGCAGCGTGCGCGGACGCGGCGACGTCGCACAGCCTACTGTGGTTCGAAACTAGTAGAGCTTTTCTCAACATTTACACGTGAGTAACCCGCGAATTTTAGTTAATTTAGTATGTCTCACGATAGTTATTATACTGACAATATCCTTGAAATGGCTGGTATTCGTTGGATGAGAACTGAACATCGAGCTTAGCGGCATGAATTAAGTAGACAGTCCTATGTCAAGCAGTCGATGGAATAAGGCTGATGACGATGTACCATTACTGACATTTCGAAATTGGAACGTTATGACTTTCGCTTTATTAAACGACCAAACCAGAGACCTCGTATTAAAAATTTATCTTTATGTACAAATTTAGTCTCAGTTATTAAAACAAAAGATATTTTATTTTAATATTATTAAGTTCGCCACCCAACATTTTCCCGCAGGTGGCGTAAGAATCGACTAAGGGGCCGCGTTTTTAACAGAGATAGGGCAACAGCATTCTTTTGATATATGAACATCATTTTGTCTTAAATTGTGATCTCCAACTAGCTTGCTAGCATAATAGTAAGCCCTCATCATGTAGATGACGCCCAGAAGAGTAATGAACTCACGGATTATAGATACTGATGATGATTTCAACAAATTACCTGACTCCAACTTTGTTACACCTAGTAGTCATGTTCAAGAAGTCAGCTTCATCTCCTGATCTGGTAATCAAATTGTACGACATCACTTGGTAGCGTTCGTACCAAGTTCTTATACCGGCATCATTATGTAACAGCAAATTTTCTGATGCTGGTGACGTCTGTTTAAAGATTAATAGAAATAAATGAGAGACTGCATGGTTAGCGCAGTGATCATATTTTCTGTAAAATGCCAATAATAAAGGAAATAGTCTTGTATGGAACTTGGTGATAAAACTTTTTGGTAGATTATAATTGTGGCAAGATCCACAATTATAATCTACCAAAACAGTTTACAGAAGTTCAAGAGTTGTAAATATAAATATAGTTTAATACACTAGGAACGTACCTGCACAGCTCCAAAGCCTTTGGGTCCTAAAAACCTCTCACATTCATCCGCAATGTCCAGCCACTTCCACTCAAACATTTGCACGATGACGGAACGTCCGGGCCATTGGTTGGTCTTGATGTAAGCCTCGCATGAGAATGCCGCGCCAAACAATGAGCAGAAACAAAGCCACACTAGAAGAGCCATTCTCTGAAAGTCCCAGTTAAATATTAAGAAACAGTTCATATTATTAGCTGCTAAGAATAAAGTGCATTCAATTTATCATGCTGTAGTAAGTTATACACGGCATGTAGATATTTCGATAAAATATGTATGAAATTATATTTGTGATCTACATATACCTTGCATATATAGCCTTTTTAGCTTGACTTGGCCAAGTAGCCAAAAGAGAGACCTAAAAGGGGAAAATAACCCTAACCTCTAAACAAAACAAAATAAAAACACAAAACTGGTCTGATCAGATTTAATATACCACACTAAATAGTATAATAAATCAAATCAATGTTATAATATAAGTATACGTAAAACACTTACATACAGGAAAACACCACCGTTCACTAGGAAATTTAACTCGACAATGTCATATTAAATCAAGCACTTAACAAAATAGGAAACCACTTCACTAACAATACAACACAACACTTCACATTACGTACAAGTAAATACGCGTGCAGTTATTCACAATTCAGTGCATAATCGTTAGTTGAATAACAAAATTATGGAAAATTCCAGAAGAAGAATTTATAAAATGCCCTACATACATATAATATGATTTTCTTTTAATAAATGTATATGCACAACTCTGGCAATCTGCATGGTTTGAGCAGTGGCTGAGCAACCGGTTGAACAAGACTTTGTGTGAACCACAAATCGTTGTTTCGAGTCTAGGTATCATGTAGGTACGTAAATGTGAAATTGTGTTTTTTAAACACGATCACGCCACGGGGAAGTGGCCAGGATTAAAATATACCAGGACAATAACAAGCACGAAAAATATTATTATTAACACAGTAAGATATTCATTAAATTTGTATCTACCTTTTATGAACCAATTATCAGTTCATCCAACCTATCATCAACGTTGTAACACTGCAATAACGGGACTCTTATTAAAGCGTTAGTAGCGCGACGTCGACGCTGCAGCGAGCATCTTAATTCTCTAAATATACGAGTAATGTTAAAAATACATTTTCAACATGTACGTCACAACACAGTGTCACACACACACAGTCATACGAAATCACAAAAAACGCTTAACTTTGCAATAAGTGCTTCATTTTATTCTATTATTATTTGACTCGCTTTTGCTTGTAGCTTTGCTCGTGTTAAATTCACAGTAACACAGTTCGTCTTTCTTTAAGTCTTAGACTGCCCACAAAAACTTTTGAAGGCTAATCCTCCGCTAGCGTCGGACACCATTGCGTCTTAAGTCTTGATTAGATACAGAAGAAAACACTCGTAACAGCAATTTGTTTAAATAAGCTAACTATGCAAGTAGTTTTTTTTAAGATGACAAAAAGATTCTGTCAATTTCAGAGTCTGAATGAAACCTGATGCAGATATATGCCATTGGTAAGAAAGAGTCTATGCGTACCAATACTTGACATTCTTACTTGAAATACTATCGAAAGAGCTTCGCAAATATATTGCGAATAGCCTGTGCTATCTTTAAACGTTGTGGGTAGAATCGCGATGAATGATGTACAAATTTTTGGTCTCAAAGAGTCGTTATCCAATTTTTCGAACGTTTCCATTTAATCGTTTCGGTCGTTCTTGAGATGTAGATCCATAAATAGTATATGACTATAATCATTTTCTTTTCAATATGTTGATATTCATTTCTCTTAAGTTAAGCTCAAGTAACTAAGGCCACTTTGTTGGTGTTTAGCTGCGCTAGCTGGACTAGAGATGTTTTTGAGCTGCTAAGAGTTTTTTTTTGAGGAATAGGAGGCAAACGAGCCGACGGATCACCTGATGGTAAGCGATCAGCGCCGCCCATGGACACCTGCAACACCAGAGGAGTCACAGGTGCGTTGCCGGCCTTTTATTATTATAGAGTCAGATATTTAGGGAATAAAAATCAATCTTTCAAATATGCTTAAGAATTATTATCTTATATATTTAAAAAAAAAATCTTGATCTTTTTTCTTTGTAATCCGTATCCTAGTCTTTCCTTACTTTTTTGGTGTTGATCCTAAGTTTTAACTTGATAGTAGTGTTCAACACAAAGCAACCTGCCATTATCTTCCCTCTATAGTTAATTATGAGAGAATGGGATCTAATACCAAGAAATTTCAGGCTCAGACTACTAAGCAATACTATTTATGTAAGCAATATTAGCTCGATACGGGAATTAGAAATGCTACACCAGCAGCACATATTTAGTAGCCTAACTCAATGTGCCCAACTTCAGGCAAGAGATGTAATATTTTAACATTTTAGGATTGAGGTATCTATTAACTCGAAAAATGTTTTATTTGAACCTCAATAAACTTAGTGTATCGCCAATGAAATCAATAAAACTCCAAAATAACGCAAGTTACACGCTTTTATTAACAAATATAACAAATATTTAAAAATAGTATAAATACTTAGTAGTCATTGTTTGCAATTTTATTTTGAAGGGCGCAGCCTTATTTCTTCATCGCTTCTGCAAATGGAATCTTCTAATACGAACTCAGGAAGATTTGCTGAAAAAAGACTGTTTAAAGATTATTAATAAGAGATCATGATATAACACAAACAAATATTGGACACTCAAAATTAAGGCAGATACCTCATCTCCAACATGTATAGCTAGATGCAGCTCTTGTCCGACTCCAGATAATGTGATTACTGCAGCCCCAGTACTTGATACGGTCACATTCTTCCCAGTACAAACGCTTCCTTCTATCTGACCGGATATGATATCACAATAGACACCAGCTGGAAGTCCAGTCTGTAAACATTTTACTTTGTGAATAGGAGCTTCAAAATAAATGGCTTAATTTGTTGCTGCAATTAATTTACCTGGAGCTCTTTGTTCAACTCGCTTCCCTCCGTATTGAACACAATAAATCCTTTCCTTCCCAAACTAAAAGCAATTTGATTGTTGCCATTTGACCACCAATTTGTGACTGCAGTGTTATGCACTTCGTTTCTGAATCTAACCATTCTGTATACAGAAGGCCATCGGTGTTCACAAACCCATCCTTCTGCACATGAACCATCCTAAAATTAATCCAAAAATATTTTTATTTAAGTGTGACATGAGAAAATTCTTGCGTTTTTTCATGTTTCTGTTGTATTAATGAAGTTACAGAAAACGTTAATAAAGAAAAACAGATATTGAAAGAAATTAGAGGTAAGCTAGCATAAGGAGATAGAGAAAATAGTTCCAACCTCATTTATAACTGGAGACACAATATTTCCATTACTATCAGCTGGTGGACCTTGATCGAAAGAATCGAAATAAAAGCTGCTTGTCATCCGAGGTTGTCCATACGGATGTGCAAGAAGAAATGCTATAGCAGCCTGTGAAGAAAAAAGTATTACTGAAGATTGTTGGTGATGTTGAGCTAAGACTTTTCCAGAACCCAGATTTATTCAATTTACCTTATACAAAGTTTCATTTTTGTAAGTCAGTATAAAACCATTGCGCTGCGTATCGTGGTTGTCAACAAATATCACAGCGTTATCACTGGGCATCATATCTAATGCCGTGGTTCCCCATGATGATAAAGTTTTCAAATTTTTTCGACCACTGAAAATTAGTGCTAGTTCAGCGCCAGCCTAAAAAGAAAATAAAATCTTGCTAAGATATATATTAGTGTTGAACTCTGCGTTTGATTAACCTTACTAAGCAGCAATGTGAGACATATTATACAAAATAAATTGTGTCTTATTACATAGATCTACATTCCATAACAATTAACAAAACACAAGGTGGTTAATATGCCAATAAAGAATTTAAATTTTGAATAATGATGTCATAAAAATAAGATCAATTTATAATGACTTGAAATTTTTCAGCTGATCACTAATAAAATTCTTTGTAAATAAAGAATAGATTGTCGTCAAATTTTGACTAACTGAATTTATTACAACTTTATGCATAGTCATGTCTCTATAGTTAATGAAAACTAATTTTTCCATGAATCAGCTTTTACGCGTGTTGCAGAATCATGCAAACCCTTTCTTCATAAATACTTTTATGAGATTTAGTTAGTGTAAAGTTTGTATTTAGTTAAAATGTTTCAGAAGTTTTCTGAGCCTCGAATGTGTTTAACATTAAATCTGATTTAGCGATAATCTTGACAATAATTTGGGTGAGTGACGTGAAACTATATTTTATTTTAAAGTTTGCGCTGAAGTACTCAACTAAAAATGTAGGTTTATTAAAAAATTAAGACAACGTAACAGATTACAGTCGATTTTTTTGATACTAGTGTTTTGTAAGCTGTTTTATTGTCAATAGTGCACCAAAAAATAGGTCGTTATAAGTTGGATCAAAAACTTATTATTTTGAAGGTTTGCCTTTGAGCTTGAATTTTGTAACTGAGAGAAGGATACAAGTGCTGGTTAAAGCAGAGTCTGAATCTCCTAGTAAAAAAAAACTTACAGTAAATTCAGTAACATCTCCCATATCTTTATATTCCATATAAGTAACAACACCATCTTTAGCCACTTCCTGGTAAATGTATGGTCTGGAGTTCCTTCGAAAACCATGATTCATGTTTAAATTGTTAAGACGTTTGTAAATTTCATTCAGATCCTCTGGCCACATGTGCTTTGCTGCGTCCACTCTGGATGAACAGATTTCAAATAAAGTGATGCAGGTTAAAAACCTATTCCACAATGATAAAAGACAGGTAGCTTAACTGATAAACTTACACCATGTAAAAATACGTAAAACGTTACGTTAGCAGATTCATTGCAATGTCTAATTTAACTAACTCCTAACTGTTACACTGTGACATTGTTTAGTGCCCCACCCCATACGATTAGATGACACGCATCTGTATCGCAACTGAGTTACAATCAATGACACAGATTCATGTCTAAAACCTTACGCAAAAAACAAATGATGACACTGTACCGTGCCATCCAAAATGAATCGGTACACGTATCTTTCACAGAAGTTCTAAGGTATATCATATTATATTTATTTTTACCTAAAGCCAGCAACACCAAGATCAATAAGTTTGTTCAAATATTCCGTAATCTTTTGACGAACATACGGACTAGTCTGATTCAAATCCTGTAATCCACCCAGTTGACAAACTCGAACCTGTTGAAAAGTAAAACAAATGAAATGAGGATACTATTTCATAGAAAACGTACACTATTCGTATTGCAACGAGAATTAAAAATATCTTTTTTACTTCTCTAAGTCTGGGAGAGTCATGCGTCTGCACGAAGGGGTGGTCCGCTCGACCGGAATGATAACACGGTCTTACAGAAAACCGGCGTGTGAGTGCGGTTAACAGAGTCCCGATCCTTCAACATTTCACCCAATACTTATTCGAAAATTGCATCCCGAAAAGGCCGGCAACGCACTCGTTACTCCTCTGGCGATGCTGATTGCTTACCATCAAGAAATCAACCTGCTCAACTGCCGTCCTGACATAAAAAAACAAATGCTTGGATGGAAACACTTTATAAAAAAAAAGATAACTTTAAATGTTTTTCGCATTCTTGTTACTTATATATCTAAATATGAAGATGAGTATTTTATTACAAAATAATTTCAGTTGAAATCGTAGATGATCAAATCTATATTTTACTAACCTCAGTAGCATTAGTGTAATCAGTCACCTCACAGACTGGAAAATTGAAATGTTCTTTTGTGTATGGAACACCAGGGTAAGAATAATTATCAGGATCTGCTGTGCTACCTCCAGTACCAACACTATTGTTATGAGGTATCGTCATATGGTTGAACACGACATCCACATAAATTCTGGAAAATAATAAGTTTTTGGACAATCTTTCCTACACTTAACAAGCCCATTCACCCAATTAACAAGTCTCACAACTCTTGGAATTTGTTAGAGTTCCTCCCATTTAGAAGTTCTACATGGGAGGAAAACTTTTTGCTTCTAAATTAGAAGCAACAAATTTTAAGGACTTGAGAGTCTATGACACATTTTTGTGACCTATCCAATCCTTGATACTCTACTTGCTCGACTCTTCTTTGGGCCAAGATAGGGTTTAGACTGCTTCCCCTTTTACATTTTCATCAAGTACGTATATAATCCGAAATTACTCATTGTATTTTTTTTCAATATTATGGGCATGTAAGTACATATTGTTCATCAAAAGCATCTTCTTACACTGGCAAGTTCAGTTTATAAAGATGTTTTCTATCGCCGTATGTCAGTGGTGCCAAAATAAACTTAGTAGGTAGGTGACTCAGATGTCGTGGTGGCCTGGAGGTTAAGGCGCCCGCTTCTCATGCATGAGAGTGTGGGTTCGAAACCTGGCAAGTACCAATGTGACTTTTTCCGAGTTATATGTACTTTCTATGATTATTTAGACACCACTGACATACGGTGAAGGTAAACATCGTGAGGAAACCTGGACTTATAATTTCTAATTGTAAGTTTGAAATCGCCAACCCGCATTGAGCAAGCGTGGTGATTAATGCTCAAACCTTCTCCGTGTGAGAAGAGGCCTTTGCTCAGCAGTGGGCACTTATAGGCTGATGATGATGAGGTGACTCAGAAAAAGTCACATTGGTACTTGGAAGATTTCGACACGCACCTCTCAACCAATTAATCAGTTGTTCATTTTTATCATGAAAGTTTAAAGCAGTAGTCATACATTCTCATCATAGTATTTTGTGGACGTTTCTACCCACGTAGGCACACAAAATGATCCATGTATCTTGTCTTATCATTGCAACTGTTATTAGGTACAGGTTACTAACCTACACATCAAGAACGTCATCAAAATATAGTACGACGCACTGACTGATATTTTTCTATATTATTAAGTTGATATTCTTTAATTACTATTGTGTAATGCAGGTAGATATAGATAATCAAGATAAGCGTCACTCACGATAATTGCTAAGTAGACTCAACTAATGTTATCTTTTCAATTAATGAATCAGAAAATTGAGTGCATGTTATGCAGTATTAAAGATATAATACATATCTACATAAGTAATTATATGATGACCTTTAAAATTATCAACAGTGTCGTTAAGAGCTTGTGTGGCGCTCGTCTTAGTGACCAATAACACTGTTTTGATATTAAGATTAGTATCTAGCGGTTCGTGTGCATAGTGGTATCTTAAAAATATCTATTACATATCCTGTTTCCTTTTAAAAACTCAAGTATGTTATTAATTATTTTAGGCCTTCGCTCAAAGGAGTTTACTTGTATGATGTTTTCCAATATTATCAACAGCCCATGTCTAGTGCTCAACAATCGATTGAATATAATGAAAATGAATCTGATTTTTGGTCTCTGACTAATAGTTCTTAGCTCTTACTACAAGAACAGGGGTGTTCTTGTTGTAAGAGCTTCCTAAGGTAAAGAGAGAGCAGTGTACTATCAGCCATATTATCTTGTATGACTTTCATTACTGAGCTGTATGAGAGGTGTCTTCTGAATTGTCAGGTAACTCTGTTTGGGAGAGCCAAGCACGAATGGGTCGGCTCGGCCGAAGGGATACCACCGCCTCATAGAAAACCGGCGTGAAACAATTTCAGCGTTGCGTTTCGCCAGGTTACCGGAGGTCCAATCCATACCCCTCTCCACATTCCTTCCCAATCATCATCAGGTGTTGCATCAGATAATCCGTCTGATCGTTGGCCAACCAATCCCATAAAATAACCCTAGTTGTTCTACATATTAAAAACTAGCTTCCGCCCGCGGCTTCGCCCGCGTCAAATTAGTTTTTGTCAATCCTGGTCCCTTATGTTTAAGAGACTCTTACAGGGGCCAGCCCAGGAGTACCATTTTCAAATTCCACACTTCTTGTAGAATTTGAAAACAGTGCCCCTCTTGCCCCTTGCTAAACATAAGTGGGTACTGTAGTGCGTCATAAGACTTGTGTGTGTCGGACACCCTGATCAATGTGTTGTCACGGGTTTGAAAAACAATATCACGCGATGCGAACTGTTCACCACACACCATGGCAGCGACTTCGTTTATTAAGGGTGCATTATAACGTCTTTCGTGTTCCCAGCTTGGCGTACGATCTGTGTGTATTACTAATTTGTAATTTTCCCCTGGCATTCTTTCTAAGGCTGTTTTGAAGGTGTTGATGAGGTTTATTATGTTCGTGCAACATTCTTTGAATTTTTAAAACAATGTCCCTCTCATCTCCTTCAATATTTTGACATCAACGGTCAACCTCGCTGTTTTCGTCTCCCATAAAATAAATCTGTGGAAATTTTGGTTGATCATTGTTTGTAAGAAGCAAAGAACCAATCCTATGATAAACTTGCTCTTGTCCCGTAAATGTGGGTGAAAATCCAGGCATGATGACCTCATTACCGACACCAAATGATGGCATTTGAAAGCAAGAATTGTAATTTCTTATTCTGTTTAAAAATCGCCGAGATTGTGTCTGCATTTATTGGCCATTCTACCTATGAGGACTAATCGATGATTAAAGTAATCAAGTAACAGATCATAATCAAAAGCAGCATCACGCTCAGCATCTAAGATTTGGCGAGCTTGGGTCTATTGAGAAGTTTCAGCAGCTCTTTGAGACGCGTGACGCTCGGCATCAATGATTTGGCGAGCTTGGGTCTGTTGAGAGGTCTCAGCAGCTCTTTGAGACGCGTGACGCTCGGCATCAATGATTTTGCGAGCTTGGGACTGTTGAGAGGTCTCAGCAGCTCTTTGAGCCGCGTGACGCTCGGCATCAATGATTTTGCGAGCTTGGGTCTGTTGAGAGGTCTCAGCAGCTCTTTGAGACGCGTGACGCTCGGCATCAATGATTTTGCGAGCTTGGGACTGTTGAGAGGTCTCAGCAGCTCTTTGAGCCGCGTGACGCTCGGCATCAATGATTTTGCGAGCTTGGGTCTGTTGAGAGGTCTCAGCAGCTCTTTGAGCCGCGTGACGCTCGGCATCAATGATTTGGGGAGCTTGGGACTGTTGAGAGGTCTCAGCAGCTCTTTGAGACGCGTGACGCTCGGCATCAATGATTTGGCGAGCTTGGGACTGTTGAGAGGTCTCAGCAGCTCTTTGAGACGCGTGACGCTCGGCATCAATGATTTGGCGAGCTTGGGACTGTTGAGAGGTCTCAGCAGCTCTTTGAGACGCGTGACGCTCGGCATCAATGATTTGGCGAGCTTGGGACTGTTGAGAGGTCTCAGCAGCTCTTTGAGACGCGTGACGCTCGGCATCAATGATTTGGCGAGCTTGGGACTGTTGAGAGGTCTCAGCAGCTCTTTGAGCCGCGTGACGCTCGGCATCAATGATTTGGCGAGCTTGGGACTGTTGAGAGGTCTCAGCAGCTCTTTGAGACGCGTGACGCTCGGCATCAATGATTTGGCGAGCTTGGGACTGTTGAGAGGTCTCAGCAGCTCTTTGAGACGCGTGACGCTCGGCATCAATGATTTGGCGAGCTTGGGACTGTTGAGAGGTCTCAGCAGCTCTTTGAGCCGCGTGACGCTCGGCATCAATGATTTTGCGAGCTTGGGTCTGTTGAGAGGTCTCAGCAGCTCTTTGAGCCGCGTGACGCTCGGCATCAATGATTTGGCGAGCTTGGGACTGTTGAGAGGTCTCAGCAGCTCTTTGAGACGCGTGACGCTCGGCATCAATGATTTGGCGAGCTTGGGACTGTTGAGAGGTCTCAGCAGCTCTTTGAGACGCGTGACGCTCGGCATCAATGATTTGGCGAGCTTGGGACTGTTGAGAGGTCTCAGCAGCTCTTTGAGCCGCGTGACGCTCGGCATCAATGATTTGGCGAGCTTGGGACTGTTGAGAGGTCTCAGCAGCTCTTTGAGACGCGTGACGCTCGGCATCAATGATTTGGCGAGCTTGGGACTGTTGAGAGGTCTCAGCAGCTCTTTGAGACGCGTGACGCTCGGCATCAATGATTTGGCGAGCTTGGGACTGTTGAGAGGTCTCAGCAGCTCTTTGAGCCGCGTGACGCTCGGCATCAATGATTTGGCGAGCTTGGGACTGTTGAGAGGTCTCAGCAGCTCTTTGAGCCGTGTGACGCTCGGCATCAATGATTTGGCGAGCTTGGGACTGTTGAGAGGTCTCAGCAGCTCTTTGAGACGCGTGACGCTCGGCATCAATGATTTGGCGAGCTTGGGACTGTTGAGAGGTCTCAGCAGCTCTTTGAGACGCGTGACGCTCGGCATCAATGATTTGGCGAGCTTGGGACTGTTGAGAGGTCTCAGCAGCTCTTTGAGACGCGTGACGCTCGGCATCAATGATTTGGCGAGCTTGGGTCTGTTGAGAGGTCTCAGCAGCTCTTTGAGACGCGTGACGCTCGGCATCAATAGCTTGGCGAGCTTGGGTCTGTTGAGAAGTCTCATTCCAGTGATCTAGCAAGTTTAGCAGCCCGAGCTCTGCTAGAGCTTTTAGCTAAATTGGACTTTCGTTTGCGAGGCATCGTAGAACAACAAAAATGAAATGAACCAAACAAAACACATGTACAGATTAAGATTTATTATATTAAAAAAGTTTTCTTCACCCTACCTGCACCTACTTGGATAACTACTTATTTACAACCACTGCAGAAAAGTAGAATCACTATTAGATTAATTGAATATAGTAATAGAAGGAAATAAAAGCAAATCGTATTTATTTAAAGTAACGGAAACTATCTTACCTACTTGTAACGTTGTAACTATGAACTAAAAGAAATATTAAGCATGTGCAAAAATAATTTACGGGATCTAATTAATAAAAAACACTTAAAAAGTTAGACGAAACAATAAAATAATTTTACTGGATCGGAAAATGTAATTCTCTAAAGCGCAAATTTCCCTAATCGCATGCGTCCGACAACCGACAACAACGTCTACCCTCACGTGTCTGCCCGTTCGGGTAGACATAGTTAAATTCTTGCGCTCCCCCACCACACGACAGCGCCGCGCAGCACTTCGGCGAATATGCGTAACGCCGACGGCAGCGGCGGCGATGCAGAGGGTTCGTTAAAAGGAATTTATAATTCGAAAGTGAACTATTTTGTAACTTGATACACCCAAAACTTCTAAATTACATGTTCCTAGGTTCAGTTGTAAGATTTCGTAAACATAAAGTTTGGCTTTGTAGATCCCGTTCCGAATCCGTTCCGGGTCTTATCTTCAATTCAACCCCTATTTCACTGGTTGCGGGGTAAGCGCAATGCTTACCCCGCAAGGCACCGCGACCTCGGCACAGAGCAGGAGAAGGAACAGGGGGTTTTTAGTCAGTAAGAGTCTGACACTCCCTCCCGCCCGGCCCTGGGCGGGAGAAGTCATTTGATGATTTTCCCCTCACAAAAAAAAACCCTATTTCACTACATACCACACTGTAAAATTTTCAAAATGCTAGAACAAACGATTTTTTGTTTCTTATGACGTGATATTTGACGAAATTGCATACTAA